CATCCAAAATGGAGTTCCGACGAAAGTGTGTCTCAAAGTCGAACTCAGCTGGGCGGCAACACCAAAGTCGGCTACACTATGCTCAGTAAGACGTCAAGGCACACACGAGGCGCTCACCTAATTTGACCTTTCCCGCTGCAGATAGAAGAATGTTCGCTGCTTTGATGTCACGATGAATCTTTCCTTCGGTATGTAGGTATTCCAAGCCGAGTAGCAATTCTCGAAGCAAGACTGCTATCTGCGTTTCCGGAAATACACCCGGTTTGAGGAGGTCGAGGCAAGAGCCACCCGCAAGGTACTCCATGATAATCCAAAGTTTGTATCCTCGGACGAACGAGCCATAATAGCGGGTAACGTAGTCGGAATCGCATTGAGCAAGGTGAGCGATTTCCTGTTGAATTTCGGAAATATCATCGTCGGTGTCCTCTAAGTCGATTTGTTTAACCGCTACAACATGGCCAGTCTTGTCTGTTCTAAGGACACCAAGGAGTCAATGGCCGGCCACACCGTCGGTTGATTACTCACGCCTTGTATACTGTGCCAAAGCTCCCTGTACCGAGTTTCTCGAGTAGGGTATACTGCGAAGAGGGATCTGAGGATGGTATGGCCGGTCGATATCCATTGGGAAGTGGCTGACGCGCAACTGGTGAAGTTGGGGAGGCAGGCGATGAGGAAGCGGGTGACCTGGGCTAATACAAGACGTCAGTAACAAAACGCCACGTATCAGACGCGTCTACTAACCATCTCGTCTCAACCTAGGTGTTGGAAGGGGGCTTAAATGCGCAATATAGAGTAGCCAAGCCAAGCGCTATGGACGCCAACATCAAGCATCACCATCAAATGCGTGTGGGAGAGATATCCAGAAACGGAAGGTGTCTCAGCGCCATAACACTTGGTATAAAAAGACCGACTTGCCTAGGTCTTGTGCCAGAAATTCAGAAATTGGGGTGGGCGATTCACGAGAAATGCGAGTCGAGGCGGGTCGCGGGACACTTTGAGAAAGGGGGTGCCTCATTGCAATCGCGCGTCATTCAGGGTCTGCGGCAAACAGCGGGTAAATTAGTTTACGCGTGATTGTGCGTCGCTTATCTAGCAATATGTTGCCTAACATAACCAAAGTCTCTGCATAGGATTTACGACCTACTTTCATCCCCTCTGGCCGTCTAGGAACTGGAAAATATCAATCAGAAGTGCCCAAGTAGTACCTAATGACCTGACAGGCCACCCTACGGAAGCTTTATGAGAGAATACAGTGATACAAGATCAAGGGCTTCGTAGTGTAGTGGTTATCACCTCGGATTCTGATCACTCAATCATCTTCCGGTAACGCCAGTTCGACTCTGGCCGAGGCCTCTTCTTTTTTGCTCATTTACCGCCTCGAAGCCTCGGCGGTTTTCGCTTGAGGAGGAGCCAATCCCATCGCAATGAGTACCTCGACTCGACCACAACCGTGTGACCACCATGCAACGACTCCTACCAGCTCATTTTTGCCGAGGAGGGACGAGGTAGGCTCTATCTCGAGCCGCATTCAAAGCAGTACTGACACTTTGTTCACAGCAAAGGTTTATTCTTCCAAGATCATGCATTCACAAAAATACCACAAGCAACTCGAAATCGCATTATACTGGCTGCAATGGGTGAGACCTCGCAACGTTCAGGTTATCTCTGACTCAAATTCGATGAAAGGCAGCCCCGATCCAGACGGTCGTCAGATTGACGGGTCAGTCGTCCATCACTCTGATATGTGCGAAGACTGATACACGCGTAGGATGGGAGGAGGCATCTCCTCCCTCTCCAAAGCAGCTATCCTTCACGCACCCGGCGTGGATCACCCTCCGGCAGACTCTCCGAACGCTTTCCCAGGTGTTCCGTGGGCAAACGACCTAGCAAAAGCGCGAGATGAGAAGAATGGATGGGATGTTGTGTATCGTTTTTGTCAGGTGAGTGGATGTATGCTTAGGGTTGAGAATATTCTGACAATACGACTAGGTTGGAGTACGTGAACCAGAACTAGACTGGGGCTCTACATGCGGTAACCTGGTCTCTGCGGCTGCAATGGTATGTTGTTTCTCATTCCTCGAGCTACAATCCAACCTCGACGTTAGACCGCAATAAACTGGAATTTGGTCAAGAACAAATCGATACTTGCCTCGCTCACCGACCAAGGCCCGAGCTCGCAATCAACACTCCCCGTGCGCATACTTGCGCCTAACAATGGCCTAGTTGTCACCGCCAACGTTCCAGTCATGTTAAACCCCTCACATACGCAACCAACGTTCATGCCCGTCACAGGCGGCGACGCAGTCATATCCGGCGTTCCGGGTACAGGCGCGCCTATAGTTGTCGAAACACCGATTCTCAACGCGCCGTTACGTACCGGAAACCCGCGAGATGTGATTATAGTAGATGGGGAAGAGGTAAGTGGCAGCGGCAATTCTTCCCAGCATGCGCCAACCCGCTGTTTGTAGATCGAGTGCTCTATAATCGACACCGGCCTGCCCGTCGTATTCGTCCCAGCAACACGCCTTTTCAGTCTTGCATCCTCGTCCTATACACTATCTTCCTCCCCTGTCGCTCTGGACGCAGACACTGCGCTCATGTCCCTCATAGAACGGGTCAGGGCCGCTGGAGCAGCTTATGCGCATATACCCCTCTCGAGTGCTGCTCCTAAAGTATGTCTTGTCGGCCCACCGTCTTCGAAAGCGGCCGACCTAGACATTCGGGCGGTAAGCGTGGGGAACATCCATAGGACGGTGCCTGCGACAACCTTGTCAGCTTTGGCCTCTGCTGCAGCTATCCAAGGCACTGTTGTTCAGTCCCTATCTAGTTCTCATGCAAAGGTTGCTGGCGTAGGAGACGTTGTTTCATTGACGATTGCACATCCTGCAGGGACTGCGAGTGCAAGCGTAAAAGTAGGACAAGTCGATGGGGTCATACGGCCAGAGGCGATTGTCTACACAAGGACGGCTAGGTTGTTGTTTGAAGGCAACGTAACTATCTCAGAGAGTATCTTTCACTAGCATTCAGATGAAAAGTAAATTTAAAATCACATCGCCAGGATCTAATATAAGTAGTGTACAACCCAAATACCAAAATGAGAGGATAAAAAATAACACAGTTAATAAAAGCGAAACAAAGACATCAAAGTCATAATGCCGTAAAGGGTTCATGGGTCCCGGAAATTATTGCTTCAACATAGAGGATCTAGTCGTTTATGTCATTGCGAGAGTTGCCGATAGGTGGTTTGGAAGGGGCATGCTTTAAAGTCGAACGAGTAGGGGGCTTGGTCTGTGTTGATCGAAGAGTTGAAGGGCGAGCGTTGGGCCTGGACGTGGTTGCAGGTCTGGACCTGGGTAATGCTGAAGCCGACTGGAGTGCATTAGCCGGTCGCTTCGCAGGCACCACTTTGGGCGCTAGCCCAGATGACTGAGAAGCAACAGGCAGACGCGTACGAACCGGCCGACGGCGCCCAGGAGTGATATCCTGCTCACCGCTCGCAACGAACTTTCCCCCAGCGTTCACGCGCCGCCTCTTGCTTGCACTCTTTACAAGTTCTTCGTTATCCTCGCTCGCTACCACCTTTTGCACCTCTTCCTCCGCCTCCCGTATCTCTCCACCTCCTACTTCCTTCACTCCCGTTGTACTCCCAATTTTCTCACGCTCTACACCCCTCAAGGCGCGTCCCCTTTGCCGGCCGCGTAGTCGCACCTCTGCCGCGCGGCCCCTTAAAATCCCTCCCCTTCAGTATCTTCACCCGCCGCCTTTGCCTGTCCCCCGCGCGTCCTTGTAGACGGAGTGTCCCCAGTGTTCTGTCTGTTAGAGACCTTTCTTCGTTGCCTTTCGAGGGCGGCTACTCGTTCAGCCTCTTTTTTCTCAATCGCTAGTCGCTCTTCCTCACGTAGGCGTTCAGCCTCGGCAGCGCTGTTGTCCTCCTTGGGATCCCAGACCTGGGCACGTAGTTCACGCGTAGAGCGTTGCCTACGGGGAAGACCCATTCCCGTTGTGGAAGTCGGAGGGTGACTAGGAGCATTGGTAGGCGGCCTCGAAACAGCGGTTAGTGGGCGACCTTCGGGTCCCGCCGATGGTGGGCGGTAGCCGGGCTGAGGGCGAGCAAAGACATTCGACACGCTTTGGGAAGGCGTCAGTGAAGGCGCTATGGACGGCGTGGGGAAAGTAGGAGGGCTTTGGGGAACAGGGAATGAAGGGGCAACGCTGGGCGTCTGCGGTGGGTAAGCAGTTGAAGCTGCTTGATAGGGGTACGAGCTTCCACCCGGGCCGGCGCTCGGTGCCCGCCTGTGCTTGGATTCAGGGGGGATCGCGGATCGTTGTCGCCAGCCTTGAATGAGGTCGGATCTGCTCCCACCATCCGATTCATCGGCAGGGGTGTATGACCTTGGAGGGTACCCAGAACGCCCGCGGGTGGGATTATAGGGATTACCATAAGCCGGGGCGGTCGGGCCCACGGGCGGCGAGCTCACAGGGGGTGATACGTATCCCCCGACGTCAGGAAGAAGACCTTTGGCCTCCTTGGGTTTGTCCGCAAACGTCATGCCACGTTCGCCTTCCAAAAACGCCGAGGCGCGGGGATTTGGTCGGTCTGCATAGCTATCCACGCGCTGCCGATTAGGATTGAGATTCGCTCGGCTAGCGCGCGTACGAGGCTGCAAGTATGAACGAACCGCGGGAGCAGCCGGTGCTGAGACGGGAGGGTGCTCAGGAGAAGAGAGCGCAAAGGATGGAATATCCGGATTGGTATCGGGTGCAAGATCACCTGCCCCATTGGTCGCACCCTGTACATCAGGAGAGAAACCATATAGGGGACCCCCGACCTCAGACTCCGGTCGACAGGAGACAGACGTGACGCTTGAGGAATCCCCGCCGACGTAGGGGGAACGATCGATTGACCTCCGGCGCCCATACGGTCGACCGCCTAGGCCAGGTTCCGGGCGTGAGCGCGAGGTACCGCGGCGAGTGAACACTGGAGGATAGTCGCGTCCATCTGGCATACCTAGCGGCATACCATACGGAGGAGGATCATCGCGCAATGGATTTTTGTAAACAATTTCCTCGGCGTCAGATTCCTGCTGAACATAGGCGCGAGTCTTGGGGACGAAGCGCTGGAGCGGATCGGGTTTGGACTCTTTAGCCTTGGTCGACGTGGCCTCTGGCTCACCCAAGGGTTCGTCAGGGTCAGAAGCAGACGCGGCGTGGCCACCGGGACGAGGGAGAGAGCCGCCGGAGAAAGTCTTTTGGAGGGTGGCCCACGCGTGTTGAGTTACAAGCTTAATCCAGACGAGGGGAGCCGTAAAGAGTAGTACAGCAAAGTCTGCTGCCGAGGTAAAAACTTCGACGCAAGAGTCGAGTGAAACGTAATATGGCTTGACGAGTGGCCGGATGACGTGGAGAAGAATCGCCTCGGCCATCTATGAAAATTGTCAGATGAAGCCCGGTATTACATACAACAAGCCATAGACTTACAGTAGCGCGACCTAGGATAAGGAAGAGAACGAGGAACATCTTGATCTCGTTGTAAAAGGGGGTGAGAACAGAGATGGTGCGGTCTGCGATTGCCTCTGCGCTTGTCCAGCAAGACTAATGATATCGTTAGCAGATATATGGAGATGGTAATACGTTGCACGTACCCAGACAATCCAGCACGCGAGCATCCCCTTGAGCTCGCGCTTTCGCGCCTGCTTTGCCTTGACGGTGGGGTCGACTCCATTCTTGGACCTGCGCGATGGCTTGGCAGGCTTGAGTGCCTTGAAGGTAGTGTATACGTTCTGGAAGAGCAGATAAGAGCTAACAACGAGCACGAGCATCTCTATAGGTCATCAGAGGGGGAAGTGGGAGGAGGAAATTTCACTTAAAGAGAGAAAGCCTCCAAACATAACAGTCCTTAAGCGCCAACACGTGCCCTATATTAACCGTGGAACACGCGCTTCGCCCACGTGAGGTGGCGTCATCTGCTTTTATCACCGTTCACCACTATGCTCTTCCTGCTGCTATTTCCACTGCTTGCCAGCGCCGCCGTTGTCCCTGAGCTCATCTTGCAAGACGAAATAACCCAAAATGTCCAAGATATTAATGTTCCGGTACGTATTTACCCCATTTCAGCTCTCAGCTCTGACTCGAGCATAGGTCACGCTCGGAGTGATGAGCAGATGCCCAGACGCCATCACTTGCGAAACCGTGTTTGACAAGGTCCTCGAACGTGTGGGAGACAAGGTGGACATATCCCTAGCGTTCATCGGCACGTACGTACCCCGCGTTCTTCTCACCTGACCGCACTCTGACCAACACCTACAGTATCAACGCGTCTGAGCCATTATACGGTGTCACCTGCATGCATGGTG